GTGGACAGCACCCGATCCACCCCTGAATGCCACACATTGTTTGCCACACATTTCAAAGGGTTTCACACCATTGAGGGGCAAATCTCTTGACGTCATGATTATAATCCAAGTGTTCGGGTATTCAGGGGTTTCAATATTATCATTAACATCATGCTTAAATAATTGCTACGGAGGATGTATAAAAATATTTTTAAATTTAAGATCTATAAATACATTATGAATAACATTAATTTGTTTGTTAACTCTCTCTCTCTCTCTCTCTCTCTCAAGAAAGCTCACCTTTTTGCTTTTTATATATGTTTTGTTGAAAAATAAGTTGTATAAAATATAGCACAGAATTATAACAATAATATATTCATACATTTTTTTAACAATTAAATGATTAAATTTACTTAAATGTTTTGTTATTTAAAACATATGTTTTAAATTTACTTTATATAACAGATGTTTATATATAGAATAAAATGCAAAATTGTCTTTCAAACAACTTTTAAATTATTAAAACATTCTAAAATACATGAATTTTTTAACATTTATAAAAGATTTTTACAATATTTGTTGGCAACGCTAATATTATACGCTTGTATTGTAGTAATTTTCAATGACCTTTAACTAGCCAGAGCTTATTAAGGCAATATATAATAATTATATTATAAACAATCTCAATTACTTTTTAATCCATAGAAATAAATATTATAGTTTAGGTTAATTTTGCGTTTAAAAACGTAAATAAACACTCATTATCATTGTTCTTTAATGTTTCAACGAGCTCGTTCAATTCATTATTATGCTCAAGATCAATTTGATTGTTCTCCATTGCGTTGATTAGTTGAGTTGTGGTCGGGCGACCAGCATACTGAGTATTGATCATCATGATAATCATTTGTCTCATTTGCTCCAAGTAATCATCAGTTGGAATGCTCCTGGTAGTTTAGATAACATCATTTCAATTAGAATATAATTATTAATTAAAACCATAATTTGTAAGTATGTAAATAAACAATTATAGGGAAAGTGGTAATTATAAATAATCATAATTTAAAATAAAAATTTTATAAACAATAATTACCAATCAATATTTAATAGTTTGGCGGCAATCATACCAAGACTATAAACATCACCGGCGCGCTTATAGTGGCCATCGTGTGTCTCGGGTGCCATTGTGCCGCGCGTACCGACACCGGGTGGGCCCACAACCGTACTGCCAACCTCGCCGGTGCGGCACGTGATGGCCTGACCCAAGTCACACAGTTTGCAAAATATACCAGCACTGCCTGCGTTCGGGTCAAACAGAATATTCTTGGCCTTTAGGTCTCTGTGCATGTATGGCGGCTGACGTGTGTGCATGAAGTGCAGCCCCCGGAGCAGCTCTATGAACATCTCGCGCCCGATGTAACGCCGGACCCGCCGGATGAGTGCGGGGTTAATGTTGGCCGGTATTCTACCAAATGTGTTGTCCATTAGTTGTATAATTTGAGCTAGGTTGTAGGGACAATATTGCATCTGGATAAAGCGTGCACATTATGCTCCCAATGCGTAATGAGCTTTACCACGTAGTCACTTGTCAGTTGCTGCAGGGCATTGATCTCGGTCATATAAGTGTCTAAAATTTAAATTAATTCAAATAGTAAATTTAAAAATTTATATTATTTAATTTAACTAGCAAATAAAATTAATCTTACCCGATGTGTAAATGATTTTAATAGCGTACTCGACTCCATCTACCAAACTAGTTGCCTTATAAACATAACCGTAAGCACCCTGGGCAATTCTAATAACATTGGTAAAATTAGCACCATGGTCACCCCAGCCATTTGTGGGATTGTGGGATTGGGTCGGGTCAGGAAACCCAGTCACACTATTAATGCCATTAGGGTTATTTTGTGCCGTATTAATTACCCTTCTAGACTGGTTATTATTATTTTGCGTGTTTTGAGCTGACGTGTAGTAAAATGCTTGTGGTGCAACTGCCCTCACGCTATTATTATTATTATTTTGAGCATCATGATTAATTACGACATTGGGCGCCACCCGTTGTGGTGTAGCGGGTGCGGGATAGTGCGGATTAAATTGACTTGTTACATTATTTTGTACACTATTTGTTACATTATTGGCCGTTCTATTTGCCTCTATCATATCACTTGCATCTTGGTTCACGTTACCATGCGCATCTATTAATAGTGTAGCAATCTCAGGGTTTTCAACAAAGTGACCCCGGGCTCCGGGTTTTCTGGGTAATCTACGCCAGCGTCGTCTTAACACAAAGACCAAGATTGCTATTATTAGTACCACTAGGGATATACCAATAATAGCTATTAATGAAGTATGGTCATTTAAAAAGCTGTTATTAGTACTGGATGAATTTGTATTATTATTGTCAGCTGATATGGCTTTGCTAGGCGTGACCGGTATAGTTGACATTGAGTTCCGATTACAGTAGGATATATCATGCTCGTATAATGAGCATGCTAAGTCAGCGGCCCTTATTTGATTGATTGGCCGACCATTAGCCTGGCCTTGGTGCAATTGGATACATGTGTCCTGTGTGTAAATATTAGTACAATTTATATCATGTTTAAAGTTTGTTTATTAATTGTAATTAAATTATTATCTATTAAATATTAATAAATAGTTTGCAGTTTGTACATAATATACTGTAAGATTATTATTATTAAAGTTTATAATTTATCAATTATATTAATCTACACCTTTATGTCTAACAAAGAATGTTTGCATTAGGTTATTAGTAAGGATCAGATTAAATCAAATATAATAAAATTTTAAATTAATACGGCTAATTAAAATTTATATATTGGGTTTATAGATTGATTCGGATGCGATGATGGGATTTAACATGGGATTACAGCCTATGGCTATACTTTAACATGGGATTCTTGAGTCTATGGGGAATTAACATGAGATTACAGCTTAAGTCTATGGCTATAATTTAACATGGGTAATGCTAAGTCTATGACATAGGGATAACATGGGTAATACTAATTCTATAGGTAATGATAAGTCTATGGCAATGATAAGTCTATGGCAATGATAAGTCTATGGCAATGATAAGTCTATGGATAATGCTAAGTCTGTGACATAGTGATAACATGGGTAATGTTAAGTCTATGGGAGTAATGTTATATCAATGGGATAATGTTATTTCAATGGAGATATACTAAATGAATCTGTCATGATAAATAAAACTAATTGTTGTCAAAAACATTTTAAATTTTCATAATAATAATAGTGAAAGTATTCTAACAATAGTATTGAAAAATTTAAAATTTTTGATGCATTTCCCGAATTGTGGTTAACGTATAACATCGTGTGTGATCCTTGTTTTAATCTAAATGTTAAATAGAAGTTGTTTTATTATAAAATGTGAGTTATTTTATGGTCCAAACCTGACCAATAGGGGTAAACCCATATATCAATCATAATTGAAAATTGAACATATAAATATATAAATAAATAAAATTTATAAAATCATAAAATTTTAATTAGATTTAATAAACCACTTGTCAATTAAATATTAACTTTTAATATCAAAACTTAAAAATAAATTACAGCCACTGAGCCTATGATTACAACTGAATTTATTTAATGTAAAACTTTTGACAAAAGCGCCGATACGTGACAATTGCCTCGTCATTGCGGGTCAATATCGGGCGCTTAGGTGTCTGGGAATTAAATATGATCATAGCATCCGAATCATACTATAAACCAAATATATAAATTAAAATTAGTCATATTAATTTATATTTATATTATTATTTATATTTAATTTATATTATATTTAATTTAATCTGACCTACACTAATAACTTGATGCAAACATTTTTTGTATGCAAGATTAATATAATTGACAACTAATAAAATTTAATATATATAATCTTACAGTTTTTATCAACAAATTCAGTGCTTAATATACCTGTATATTCACCATATACTTCAATGCTATAATATATAGCTTGCTGAAAATAAATGACTTAAAGAAGAATATTCCTCTGACTAAAGTTTGACCAAGCTGCAATGGAACAACAGTACTTAATATTAATACGGTGCCCAACATTGAGTCCTCTGTGCCAAAGTAAATCAGTTCAATCACTGGTGACACGTGACACACTTTAGTAGGTACAGTGACCAACTTTACGCCCAGTAAATAGATGGTCATTCTACCGGTGATTGTAGGCTCTGTCTCTGTGTCAGAAGTTTTATCAAATGAAAATGTTGAACTAACTATGTATGGTATGAGCTGCTGGTGCACGTAATGAAAGTGCTGTAAGTCAAACCCATTTTCAAGTACAATCTATCATAATAAAAAAGGCTAATTTATTATTGTTAAAAGTATTTGTTACATTAAAATTCAATATTATTTATTAATATAATATCTTAATAAAAATTTGTTATAATAATTATTTATAATTTCATTTATAATTTAACTATATTGTATTAAATTAAACTATAATAATTATAGTGTGAGAGGGCAGCACTTATTACTGTATAAATGCATGTCTTTGTCTGTTTCTCTCTATCCCTTTCCGCCCAACACTTCAGTCACACTTTGAGTCGCAACTTAATCACACCACACATTCACTACAAGTCTTTGTTAAGACCTACGGCCGGCCCAAAGCCGCCACAAATTATCTTATTTAACCGCTATTTGTATAACCATTTCGGCCGTCGCCGATATCTCTAATTATAACCAGATTTTGCGGCTAATCTGCCGTTTAATAATTAATAAAGCGTTTTAAATCAACTAAACGTCTAACATTCATTGAGATCATCCCTCAATAGAATGTGATAAATTAATGACACCTTAATGTACCTGATAGTTACAATGCATGAGTCTGAGGAAACTCCCTTTCAGTGACAAATTGTGATAGTTGTTTCCGAGACAATCCTGAGGGTAGTGATCGGGGTCTGAGTCCTCCGAGTGGTGCCAAACATATATCACTTCATTCTTCTCTATTGTCTGCCATTTCTTTACCACAGCTTTCACTGCATTTAACTCAGACTCTATGAAAAACGTTATGAATTCATACAATAATTTTAATTTATTTATAATAATTAATAGTAATAGTTATAGACATACCGTTGAGATTAGGTATGCGTTCGCACTGTCCGTCTCCGCCAAACCTCCAGCCATGGAATGGACACTGAATACAGTCGTCGCCCGACTCAGACTCAGTCACCACATGTCCGCCGACACC